CTGCTGTAGCAATCCTTCCTTTTTGAAGCTTTAATTTCTGTCAAATTTCAACATTGTAAAAACGATTGAGTCAGTTGTGAAAACATTGTCAGCTGCACCCAAAGGCTGTTTCGTGCGCTCACGGTGGTTATGCAGTACCTTATTGCCTAATTTATTATCCAAATGGACACGTTTGGAGCCACGCTGCGCAGTGGACGTTTCGACACAACTGCTGCATTATTGAGAAACAAAAGCATTTTACCTGTCGTGTTTTTAGATACGACTCCTCCTCTGCCGCGTCATCAGTCGATTGCGCTTCAACAGGACAGTGGCTGATATTTCAAGGAATGTATAAAGACTAAAGCAGAGGAGGGTTTCTTGGTTTTTTTGTTTTCCTGTAGGAGTCCTGTTGTCTCTACTCTTTACTTTTCCTTTGATGTTCTTATTCAAGCCCTTTTCTAAAGAAAAAAAAAGTCCCAGTCTGGTATTTTTAAACTGGATGAGACGGTTTACCTTTCATATTTATTTGAGCCAAAATTTGAGGAAATGTATGCATATACCCCAAATCCTTAAGCATTTCTCTCTGCCTTTCCTTTTTTTTTATATAAATATATATACAGTATATATACCATGTTTTGTTGTTAAGTATAAATTTGGAATTTGTGTAATATATTGCTACTAAATTATAAAAAAAACCAAAACCTTTAATGTAATTTTTTGCCTTCCAATGTAGCTTTGATGCACTAAAACTTTTATTCCTGAGTGAACAGTGCCCAACAGCATCTTCTAGAGCTGTAAGCTTTTAAAAAAAGTTCCAAAATTGCCTTTCTGCGCTTAAAAAAACCAAAAAAGCCATTTGCTGAATTTTTTGCACTATGTTTGAACTTTCATTTCTCTCTATTTTTGGGTTTATACATTTACAAATATCCAGAAGCGTGCCGACACAAACATGGATAGATATATAGACATCAACTTAAGTCGCCAAATCATTTCGTGATCAGACACACAAACACATTCCTGCACCACAGGTGTGTGTGCGCATTCCCCCTGTCCTGGGAGGGCCTTTCCCCTTTAGCTACACATGTGATCCCGTGTTTCCATAAATTAGGAGGAGAGGATGAAGGGATGGAGGAAGACAGGTGGGGTCAAAAGGGGTATCTTCTTACAAAACCAGGGGCAGTTGGAAAAAAAAAACCCTCTGTTGTTGTGCACCGGTCCTTTTGTTCTAAATAATCAGTGAGTGCTTTGAAACCTTTTATGGCTCCCAGTCTAATTTACTGTCAGTGCCATGGGGGTCGTAGCTCCGCCAGCTCTGCCTGCACACATCGCCTTGGCACGAGGTGTGCTAAAGATATCTACAAGAAGTATCAGGTATCCAGTATTTACCGGGAAACTCTTTCACAAGAATGAAGATGATTAGGATTCACGACTCTGAAAGTTGGCGGCTCGTGTGATAAACAAGTAAGCTTTAATGTAAGTGAGAAGTGATCCAAAGAAGCTAGCATTTGCAGCTCAGGTAAAGAAAATAAAGTATGCAAGCTGTTTTGTATGCCCTCTGCCTTATTCCTAGTTTTTTTCTAAACGACAGCGTCTCATTCCCATCTCCCTTTGGCCTGGATGTGCCTGAAAACCTTACTGTATTATAGGCAAACATCATGCAGCTAGAGAAACCACCTACGTACTGAGATTGGTGTGGTTCCTTCAAACACAAAAAACCAAAGATCTTCACGACTGCCTGTGATACTGTTTGGATGTTTTCGATGGAGAAAATGTGTGGCAAAAAAATATCATTGTTTTTGTTTTTCTTCTGCAAACAAGCCCAAGTGTGCGAGCAAATCTTATTTTTATTGTGTGTTAATTAAAGAGCACAATGTTACTTTTTTTTTTTAAACAATCCCTTTCCAGCAAAATGTTCCTTCGTCTTGCTCTCTCCATCTCTTTAATGCTCAAAGCATGTACATCTGAAACTGGTATGTTAATTTAAAATCTCACCATGTATGTAATGATATCAATAATGCTTCTATACTGAGTGCTTGTAAAGTTTGCGATAATGTAGTTTTTATTCATTTTAATTAAAAAAAAATGTGTCTCACTTTTGTCTCCAAAGCTGTTTTCTTTTGGAGGATACGATTTGTAAAACATGGCCACACTTTGTGCTCACGGCTCCGCCCACCTACTTGTGAAACCTTTTGTTTACAAGGAGCAGCCAATCAGAAAAAAGACTCAAAGAGAGCATAAAAATAGAGCCAACAGGCTTCAGCTACTACACCGGAGTCCAGGAATGAACCATTATAGCCCCTTCAAAGGAACTCTTGGAGTGAAATGAATAAATCACACCTAGGTTAGATTAAAGTTGCATATTTACGGCCACATTGTTTGAATTTATTTGCGTAATTATAAAAACAATAGCACAGTGTAGCAGTATTCCTGGGCTTGTGAGGTGTTGTAGTTTAACAGGGCGAGGTGTTGAGAGTTAAAACACGGGGGGGGGGTACATTTTTACCCATCACATCAGCTGAAAAATGAAGAAGGAAAAAGAAAACCCTCATAAACATCCATGGGACCCGATTCCACGCCAGCACATACTTCTAACTTCTTCAGCTCACACAGAAAATACCACGAATGCCACTGTTTTCATCTCATAACCTTACATTTGCTGGGTTGTGCCCAGTAACCCTCTAATAATTCTCCTCCCCTCTCCCATTAGCGAAACTCTCGCTGGCAATTCCTCTCGCTTCCCAGAGGTTTGAAAACGCCTCAGCTGTCAGCGCGGTGGTACCCTGAGCGTAAATAAAACGCTGCTCAGGAATCCGACACCACCCTGGCAGCCTCCGTGTTAGCGCACGTCGGCAAGTCGTCACTTGTTAAAAACAATACAGGAGTTTGGAATGTCGGCGGCCTTTTTTAACCGACGGCGCGCTCGTTAATTTACACCGCGCCGATGCCATCTGTTTGCCCCATTTGAAGCCGAGCCGTAAGATTAAACACTTGAGATGCCACCTTGCGGGGTGGTCTGATTTCAGATGTGGTTATCCTGACACCAAATACCCACAATTCTTCGCTCTTTAACTAATGCCACCTGTTGATGCGCCATGAAAGGCTTTCACTTTGTTTTTCACTAATTTTTCACTCTTTTGTTTCCTGTGTTTAGACTCTTTCATCCTTTCTTCTCGTTCAGCTCTCTCCTTTCTTTGCCTTTGTGTGGCTTCTGCTGCATGCGTGTGTCTGTGTCAGGCCTTCTATGGGGGCAGCGCTGGCAGAACAACAGAGCCTCGGGATGCACACATGCAGCCTCGATACACACTGCATTCAATTAACTCTGCACACTCAAAGCATTTCCACGCAGACGCACACAATCCCCCGCTGACAGATCTCGCGTCAGCCCTCCACCCAGACGGTCTGAGCTCCACTTTGCAGTGCGAGTTCACAACAGCGTTTCCTCCAGGTCTCATCACAGAGAAGCGCTCTGCCTCGCCCCTCGCTGATCCCCCACCACTCAGGAAGCACAAAGAGAAAATGATAAGCTTTCAATTAGGCCAGGCTCAGGGGGATTTTACAGCTGTCTTCGCACACTCTGTGAGACCCGACTCTCTTGTCCACATGTGTGGAGCAGAGAGGCTCTCATCTGGCTCTGCCTTAGTCGTGGATGTACACGAGCAGAGCTGCTTTTTTCATCTTCTCTCTGCTGCTCCTCTTCCGAAAACTGTAACTCTCCCGGAAAGAGGGGAAGCGTTTGCCTGGATCAGGCTGCCTGTCTGGATGTGATTGTAGTCAAAAGGCATGATGAATTGGTGCATAGCACAAACAAAACCACTTTTTAAGTGGGTAAAGTTGAAAAAATAGACGCATAACTTGCCCCATGGCGATAGAAAAGAATAACTAACGACTGCTTTGTTTATTCTGTCTGTTGCTTATCGGCCTCCAGGATTTTTCATCTTTATTCAAAAGAAAGATGATAAAACACTGAACTGGAAATAAGACACAAACAAAGAGAAACAGAGAAAGTTTCTCATGATAACAGCATCCGCTGTCGCTTCTATGATACCTGCATGCGAAACCAATTACAGCCTCTTCTGGAGCCACTAACAACCTCTGCCCTGAACCCGTGAGAAGCAGTGGGCCTGAACCGGCTTGTTTTGGGTGCCTGGTACGTTGGCCAGCAGTCTATTTTCTAACCAGACTGGTGGTGGGAACAGCAACTACCGTCCAAAATCAGGGTTCCCACAGATTGACCGAGGAACACAAGGGCCAGGGGCTAAGAAACCACGAGAGCTGTGATGCAACCATTCTCACACAGAGCACTGCTTTGCTGATGCAGAGTGGGATGTGGAGGGAGAGATGAAGAGAGAGAGAGAGTTCTCCTAGTTCAGAAGGATCCCAGTGAAGGTAGTTTCTCATCCATGCCGAGTCTACAGAGACTGATCTTTGGAACCGGGCGACTCCCAGTTCCCACAGTGGAGCACCTCTCTGCGGGGCTGTACTGTAGGAGTCGGTTCCCGCTCAAAGCGGGAGCAACGGTCACAGTGTCAGATGGACCCGGAGAGCTGCCAGCACGACACTCTGCTGTGTGACCTCTTAACGAGCTGCTGATCTCATAGAAACACAAACAGATTCAGCAGCAATGGGAGACGCGTCACTCTTAAAAGTCTCCCAAAGAACAATCTGTTAAATCAGCCGTGTCGCACTTTAACCGCCTCCCTGGATGCATTGCTGGGAAATGTATGAAAACAATGAATAATTACAGTTTTTAGATCTCAACAAACCTTAGCAAAGGAAAACATGTGATCTCATCAGTGTACTGACAGCACCTGGAAAATATTTGGGTACAACCGAACATATTTTCCTAAGATATGTCAAGCTGTTACTCATCAGTTTGATAAATGGATGCTTCGTTATCTATGACTATTTATGCTTAAAAAGAGGGGGAAATGTAACGGTTAGGAGACGTGGGCCGTGAGCAACACGATAACTGTTGCTGAATCATC